CGTAAGGCTTCTCAGCTGCAATTTTTGAGAAGACTCTACTGTCCCCGTCACCTACTAATCTCACATATTTTAAACCATGCATTGGAATGCTTTGTTTAAAACCTTCCGATATAATATCGGATTCCATTGCCGTAGTCGTGCCACACCAGTTTTTAAAACACTTATGTTCTAAGTGACAAATAGGACAGTTTTTATTTCTGTTTGCTACAAACAACAGTTTTCCTGTTTTGGCTCCAACAATGCAAGCCTACAATTGTAAATTAAGTTTAAACAATACTTTTTCATACTTTTTACTTACAACTCTCGAGGATGCATCATACTTTGATTTGCATGATCGTTTGGACCAAGCTCCATCCGCTATAACCGTTATCATGGGATATCCATCTTCATCCACATCTCCCACTTCTCTCGCGAGTTCTGCTTCTTTGCCCGCTTGCTCCATTGTTTCCCAAGCAGATTCCAAAATTGACGCCGATACATTTTCTATATGCTTTTCATATTTCCAACGTGACATTTGTGGAATATTTAAAATCGCTTGTTCCTGTATCATTTGGCTGTATCCCATTTCGACAGAAATATTTGCTAACACCGCAGCAGAATTAATATTGAGACAATCATTACTTTATTTCATCCGGTTCAGAAGCAATTTTTTTTTCAATATTACACATACTACATTTCAAAGTAATTATTGATCTTAGACCATCGAAACGTTCAGAAAATATGTTCATATGTGAAATATTGCATGAAAAAGGCTTGTGGTTGTTTGCATCTTGTAGGGATTTAATCACATATTTTATATTGACAACTCTTCTACCTTCTACTTCAAAACTACTTTGTGTTTGAGGAGAATCAGTAGTTTCATGTTTATTAAATTGGTCGGGAAAATTGTATTCATCAGATGAACTAAAATTATTTATATATGAGGTCTTCGGTATTTATTTAAATAAAATTATTTGTATTCATACCTATCTAATGGGCCAGAATTGTGAACAGTAGACTCTTGACTACTTGGTGAATCTCTTTTATCATTTGGTTTAGAAATTTGTCTGGCTCTAACTCTATAAAAACAGTTTGGTAATTAATTAAAAATACAAATTTGATTGCAATTAAATGTTTTGTAAACCGGCCTTTAATGTATATCAATAAAAAATAATAAATGTTTTACCTTTTCATTCTCATACGAACACTGAATTTTTTATATCTTTTCATTGAATTATTCATTGTCTTCAATTCGATACTGCAGCACTAAACTTATGTATCAGTTATCACTACCTATCCTAGAGAAAATCTAGATACACATTCAGTTATAACACTATAACAAACACAAATTTGGTACTGTTCTTCACTTACAACGTGTAACATCCGAATGACGATAATGAAACATGAAAAATTCAAAAACCAACAAACATCAAAGGGCCGCATAACACATTTCTTCCCAGAATAATTGTGGGAATTTCGTGTATTTTGCTAAGTTTCTCGACAATTGTAAATTTTATTGATGATCACATTTCCTTATTTAGCAATAAATATGCAAATATGGGTCAGTTTTGCGTGGGAAACTGCTGTGCTCGTGCTTTGAAGCATTGTTTTTTTTTATAGGATGGAAGTATTGTAATTTGTATTTTGAATTTGTAAAATTGATTCAAATTAGTTTTTGTAGAAGAACTTTACATAATTGATATGTTGTTTCGCTGTGCATCTTATTTAATTGTTAAAGATCACTTAGTTCAAGTTTTTATAAAAAAAATATTTCAATAAAACAATGTCCTCATAGTCATTGCTCCAGAGAGTGGCAGCACTACCACCAAATCCTGAGCTAAGTAGATTAATTAGAGCTAATTTTTTGAATCGGTGATAGTTTTCTTTTTACACAATAAAAATTACAGAATAAAAAAAATGTACAACGACCCAATTGTAATGAAATTATAATTTTCATTTACGCGAAAGGTAAAAATTAAGTTGTAAAGCAATTTTAAAAATCTCTAAAATCTTCTTTTACAAATTCATGACATCTGTGTCATCAGCTTGTCGGTGGGTGTGGTTGTAAATTTGGGTCTAATTGTTTGCGCTTACATTTTATGTGGGGGTTGTAAATAATCTTGTGCTCACTCGATTTTCGATTCCAAATCATCCTACCTGTGTAGAGGTGTTATTTATAAATATTTTTTTACCGGACTTGAAATTGTCACCTTAATTAATATACAACAATCTACATTTTGACTGTTTTAAAAGTTCGGAAAAACGTCTTAAAATGTTTTTTTTTATTATGCGCACTTTTATTCAAACTTTATCTACCTTTATTACAATTTGTAAATACCCTATCGCAATTCTAAAACAGTCAAAATGTAGAAAAAAATATTCTCTTTCACATGATACCAAATTCATAAAAATATCTTTAGTAGTTTTTAAAATACAGAGGTAGACATTTACATTGGAACTCCCATAAGAGATTTTGCTCCGGCCGACTTTCAAAAATTGAAATATGAAATCACATTTGACACAAGAAAAAATTCGTACTTTAGGTAAATAAAAAACATTCATAAAGTGGGTAAATAATAATTTCTCTAAATTAGAAAAATACAGGTAAAATCAATTAAAACAACGTTATTATATTAATAATATGTCATATTTTATTGTTTCACATAACATATATAGGTATGTATACATTTTAACGGGTGAATCAGAATTTGACCATTACTGCAAAAATAATCCCTTGTTACAGAAATTAGGGATTAGATAGACAGCTAATAAGTTCGACCACAAAACGTCACAAAGCCGCGAGTGCGATCAACTTCTGGGCACCACAGGTAAAAGTAAAAGATAATTTCGTGTTAAATTTTCAAACTTGTTAAATCTCTAAGTTTTGTTTTTCTTTTGTACCTAAAATTAATAAAATGTTAAGTTTTATAATATGTTCATTTTTACGGAAGGATTTAAATATTATTGGTTTCTCAATTGCATTGTTTCATTTTTTAATTACAAACTTTTTTCTACTATCTTTTCACCTTTTTTTCTCTCAATTTTTTGTCTTCAATTGCTTCGCTAATCGATGAGGGTTCTCTATAAGGCAGATTCGACCCCCTTCGATTTAAAATTATTTCAGGAGCGAGACATTCTTATAAAACCAAATTAATTTTGGTAACATAGTCTCTTTCCAAAATGCCTCGTCTTTCAAATTTTTTTCCGTAAATAGTTCATTTTGATTTCTACTATATACAACAAAATTACAATTTTTTTTTGCAAATTGTAAGTTGACCTTGAATCTAAAAAAAAATCTTCATTAATTACACCTACAACCGTAAAAAAATCATAATTAATACCAATTTTTTTTAGTAATTCTAAATAACAGAAAGAGTTGAAGCTAAGGAATTGTTTATTCTAAATAACAAACCATCGGGAGATGCTCTTAAGAACCCGCAGGTGTCATCCACAAACAATCCGGCTGGATGAACTTTTATTCCATTCATTTCTACAAATTTATGAATAGCCACAATTTCATTTAATCGGCCATATTGCACTGCTGAAGTATTTAAGGAACGTGAAGTTAAAATTGATTTAACTAAATTATTGCAAGGAGTCGTTTTTCATCTCTTCACCACGCCGCCAAATTTCGACGCAGTTAGTCTGTGTCGTCGCTCATTTATATATTTTAAATTGTTGAACTGTCCAACCGTTGCTTCACAAATTTGTAACTGTTCTTCAAAATGCAATATGATAAATATTAACACAATTTTACAATAAACAAACCTATAGACGTTGTATTAAATGGATGACTTCTTGTTTTAAGTTTTCTTCATCCATAAATACTTCAGCAGTGTTGCTTCCATATCCTTTTGGAACTAAAGGACCCTTACTTGAAAAGTTAATTTTCTTGACAATATTTTGTCTATCCAATTTTTTTTTTTCTTCTGGAATTGCTTTCCTCTCTTTGGTCCATAAACTTTTTTAATTGTTTTCTTGGACTTTTTTGAAAACTTTTTTCCATGGCTGAAATAAAAATATGAGATTTTCCCTACTTTACTCATAATTCTATTATATTTTAATTATTTACGTTAGAATGCCAAAGATGTTTTTTATTATACTTTAGCCCTGTTAAATATGATCTTTTTTCAAATGATCCACGTTGGACTAAATTCAGCCGCTTTCCCATATTGAAACGAGCTAATAAACTCATATAAAGTTCAGCTCTATTGCTCGTTTCCTTATCAATCAATAAATGACTCTTAGTGAGTAATAAATTAATAGCCCCATAAATATGATGGTGAGCGCCGGTATTTTTTAGTTCCGCAGTGGTATCATTTGTGTTGTCTTTTACCTAAAAAATTATTTCATTGAATAAGAAATGCAAATTGTTTCGTCATATGTGATAAAATTTTGTTTATAAAATAGTTACTTCCCATGTCACATAAATATTCTTGACATTTTTTGTGGTTTCCAAAGACATGATTAACAGAGTTCCTTATGTCATTCTGTAAGGATGTTACGTCCCCATGGGCATTTGCATAAATTGCATTTTGCGCCGTACCTACAAGTTTTTCTATATTTGTGGTAGACAAAAGTTTTCGGCACTCCAAAGGAACATGTTTTGTATCCCCTTTGATTTTGTAGGGATATTTGCTATAATTTTTAAGGCAATGGTTTAAACACTCCACTTTTTCCATCTACGTAAAACGTATTTATTAAAAAGACAAATATTGTCACGTGTGTGACTAGTGGACGGGAGCAATATTAAAACGATGATAGTTTTTCCTAGGAGTATATTACAAGCTATTAACTGTGATGTACTTACAGAAGTATTTCTTTAAACATTGTCCGGTCGGCCATATGTCACCACGATCGACCCTCAATCATCGACTGCCACTTTTTCGCGACCTCGCAGCCCGAAYCCCCAAGAAGCTGACTTAGCTATTGCTTCATTAGGTATTGGCAATACCCAATTCAGCAATAGCTTGCAACCGCGATAGGGTGTTCGACCTAAAAGGTGGCTGAACTTCCTGTTTGTGACATATGCCCGGCCCTTCRAGATTGTCGCCTCGACAATCCTTATTCTATGCTACCCTAACGGTTACAAATCTAACTTTTCTGGTCACTCCACACGATGTTCTTCGCTCATCTGTATGGATCCCCGTGATCTTTATCTACCAMMTAGTTTCGACCAGAGAGACGGCTTTGGCTTTTTTCCTTCTTCAACAAGACTTCGCCTTGCAGGCTTTTGTACGGACATGACCGCATTTCCTTGCTTTGCTTTAGTCGGTATTTTTGGYGACCCTTTTTTTTTTGGTTGTCCGGAGCGACTTCAAGTTTTGTTACTCTCTTGGTCATCATACTTGTTAAACCTCTATGGGGGGGTAGAAGACAAATTCTAGGCGTTGTACACCGGGTCTTCACTGTGATTCGACGATGTTTTACGATGATAGTTTTCACAAGTTGTCTCTCTGATCTTACACTAGGGTAGCATTCCTTTTTGGATGGTAATATGAGATGGCGTCTCGTCCAGATGGTGTGAGTAAACCAGAAAAAGAAAAAAACTTACATTACAATTTTTCCTAAGCCTAATAACATTGTATTAAAGAGTCGTTGACTCTATTACATATGATCTCTTAACCTATTTATGTTCTATTATGCTGACAAGTCCGAATTACTCGTACGTCGAGTTGGTTCGACCTTGCCAGGTATCTTCTTGCAACCTTGGCCGTGACTGTGACCCAGATATTTTATCAGCAGTCCGACCGTGTTTATTTTTCCCCTTTTCCATTTTTTCCCCATAAAATATTCCACTCCCGTTTTTTCCCATTGTTTTTTTTTTGTTTTTTCCCTTGTTTACCCCACGATACCCATGACTAATATTGATCCACGATTCCCTAATGCCCTTTCCCTTTTTTTTTTTTTGAAAAACCCAATTACATGTCACTTACGTTGTGTATAATGACCTCACTCTTCGTTGTGTAAGGTTCTAAGGTCACTCTTGCGCTGTGACCTTTCGCCAGTGACAACAGACTTGCTTCGTCTAATTCCAGTCGTCCTTCTGATCGACATTGTCCTCTTGTACTCGTATTCATTCCCGGCCTTGGAGGAGGTACTTCCCTTTCCTCCGGACTCAAACCTTCTTCTTCTTCTGGCATCTTCGCCTTTTGCCGAGAGTTCTCTCTTTTCACWGCATTTTTCTGTTTTCTACGACAAAACTTTAACAACTCTGCTAATAAATACATAAAAAAGATTAATAACACTACGTGCATGAGCACGAGAACTATTTGGTGTCCCAAAAAGTTCTCCTCACCCCAAGCGTGCACTCCTGGAGTGGAAGCTATTATTAACCCTCCTGGGTTTCTCTTCAATACGAGGTACGCTACTATGATAGACAACGCTGTGTTCCAAATTAACAAAATCGAGTTTCCGTGTAGGGCGTACGTAGTGCTGTACTGATGGTCGACGTTGTGCTTACTCAGCTGTTCTCGGATTTCCTCCACTCGATTTTCCGTTGATGTTAAGTTGAGATGGGGGACAGTAAGAGTCCAGTTCAAGTTGWGACACCGGCTCACGTTCGTAAACCTAAGTGAGTCCTTCTGCCTAAATTCACCTATGACTAGTGAACCTAGCGAGGACCATATTGCTGGTAGTACGTGTACCACCGAAACTTCTTTTGCTTCGGGTATCTCTTTTCAATTAAAACTTCTCCTCTTGAGATAAGTGTACAATGACAGGGTACCCGAATTTTCCTTGCCCCTGGTTGTATTTGGTCGTTTGTGAGTCCGATTGGTGTTTCCTTYGAGTTGCAGCGAATGTAGGCTTTCTCGTCTACATGTGTCATAATGAACGTCTYATCTTCGATTTCWGTAATTGTCAGCGCCTGTGATTTGTAGCACGTCATTGGACAATGACTTCCTAAGTCTTCAATTGAACCACCCGAGATTAATTTTCTTACGCATGTTGGCCCATGAATCGAATCAGCCGAAAATCTTGGTAAGAAGCACAATTTATTTTCGAAGGGTCGACAGTGATGCAAGCTGACTCCCGAAATTGTTCTGATCTCAGTTCTCCTTCCCTGCGCTATTGCTACATACGTGCTTTCGTGTTGAATCCTGCATGTGTGATTATACCACGCAAAAGGTACACTGATTAGTTCGTACAAGGTCCAAGTGTAACCTTTTCTCCTAATTGGAATTCGCACTTGTATCGTGATGTTTTCCCCGGTCAGCGAGCAATCACATATCGGTAACGTGTACAGCATCCATACATTACTTCCGGGAATGGCCAGTTCCTGATCGTGTTGTTGGATGTGCAATCTTAACTTCCGTAGGTCTTTTYTCAAAATTGCTGGTGGTAAAATTATCTGCGGTATCAGGTGTTGTTTACAAGCACTTGCAACTTCATTTTCTTCCATTGTCCTAAGGTTGTTTAAAGTTCGCTTCAAATTTAAGTAACTATTGTATACTGCCGCCGTAGTCAATTTTTCTTCCTTTTCCATTCGTATGTTGTTGTTGTTCGTCATGTCCAATGCCAATTTTTCGATAACGTGCATCCTTTGCTCCATTTTCTGAAAAGATCTCGCCGCTTCGTCCTGGTAAGCTGCAAACTCGTGTGACTCCTTGCCTATATTTTTMAATGTTTCGCTCAACCCTTGTTGAATTTTCTCTACCTGTTCTGCCAATTCACCCTGTGTCATCGCCAACTTATCGAATTTTTGTTGTGTTGCAAAACCGMAGCACCATTCAAACGAACTTGCTATAAAATCTAGAGCCCTTTTAAATTTTCTCTTTGGTTGGATACTTTCCTCAACCTGATTATCCATCATCTGTCCCAACATTGAACGTTCTTGCTCATACATGGTCGATAATCTCCCCATCTCATCTATTAATCTGCATCCGAATTTTCCCTCACTTTTATCACAGTAATTGATCGGGTTAACTACATTTACAATCTTCGCCTTCGACCTCCATCTCGTCGAATATGTCAAGGGAATGGTGGCTTCGTAGTTGATTGTTCCCGGCAATTTTTTCCAAAACACTCCTGTATTGATTTCCACTTGTTCCGCTAGGATCATGGGTATGACATAAAATCTGAAAGAAGATACGTTTAATTCACTTGAATTTTCTACCTTAACCTCTACTTAATTCCAAATTTATCTTACAAACTAATAATAACAAGAAAAATTCCTTAATTTTGAACTGGAGAGGTCCAAGGGTCGTGGTATCTCAGTATTCGACTGACATGAACCACTTCACGTTTTGGTYTCTTCCTTGTTCCAAGTTCTAGTTCGTAATTTACGTCACTAACTTTTCGTGTTATTGTGTACGGGCCAAACCATCGACACATTAACTTGGGACTTTTTCCGACTTTTCGTCTCGGTACGAACATCTTCACTTTTTCTCCAACAGAAAAGTCTACATGACGATGAAAAGAATCGTATCGATCTTTGTCGTATCCCTGCCGTTTTGTTATGTTTGCCACCGCTTGTGCTTGAATTGCCAGCAATTTTT